TCAATGGAAAGATTATTTATTCAGCTTTCAGATGATGCATAAATCTCAATTTCGAAAAATTGACCCTTATGACTGGTTCTGTGGTCCAGGGTCACATATTATTATATTATAAATAAATAATAGTAATAAATTAATTAATATTTAATATTAAAGTTTTAAAATAATTTTATTAAGTTTTCCTGGGGTTTTTCTATTAGACAACCCTAATCTTACCATTTTGACCTTCAAACTGAATTGTAATGTAAATAAGTCATGTCAAGGCTCATGTATGAAAGGACAGATAAGCATCATTTATTCAGCAGGATGCGGTTTCTCCAGAAAGTGTTTCTCACCCTGCATCTGCACCAGGAACTCCGTCTTGATCCTCCGAGCGGCTTCGCTCTCGTTCTCATTTCTGGATCCACAGAGGGAATCCACCTCGTCTATGAAGATGATGGAGGGCTTGTGCTGGCGAGCCAGATCGAACAGATTCTTCACCAGTCTGGAAAACAATTCAAACGCAATCATTCACCTCATGCAGACTGACAGTCAGCAAAGTGAGCAAAAACTCACTTCTCACTCTCGCCGAGCCACTTGGACACGAGGTCCGAGGAAGACACGGAGAAGAAGGTGGAGTTATTGGCCTCGGTGGCCACAGCTTTGGCTAGATAGGACTTCCCAGTGCCGGGGGGCCCGAACAGAAGAATGCCCCTCCATGGAGTGCACTTGCCTGCATCACAGTACAGACACAGACTGCACTCTTTCAAAAGGTAAATAATATAGGATCTTGATTCATTCAAATAAAGAGCTAAAAGATGTGGACATCAAGGGCAATATTTTTGCATATTCTTTAATAACTCACGGATTACTACAAATCTTTCTGTCATCATTTGGTATAAGAACTTGCACTTCCATTCAAAAGCTTGGGGTCAATGAGAATTTTTCATGTTTCTGAAGGGAAAGAAGTGTCTTATCCTCACAAAGGCTACATTTATTTGATCAAAAACAGAAAAAAGAGCAATTTCATGCAATTTAATAGGCAATTTCTTGCTGTGATCAAAGCTGAATTTTCAGCATCATTACTTTTCTGAAAATTCAGTGTTCAGTGTCACATGATCCTTCAGAAATCATTTAATATAAATGTAATAATTATTATGTTAATTATATTATATTATATATTGTTTCAGGATCTGTCGATGAATAGAATTTAAAAAAGCTGCATTTATTTATTTATTTAAATACAGGTTCTATGTTTATGTTTACTTATGTGTGTGTATATTTGTTTGTTTGTGTTTTTTATACTGTCACTTAATTAACTTTATTAATTTCTTTCAAGTAAAAAAAAAAAAAAAAAAACTTACTGACCCCACACTTTTGAACAATAGTGTGTTAACTAACTAGGGATGTGCCCAAAGCTGAATATCTTATATATATTGTATTATATAACAAATTCTACTGAATAATATAACTAATATTTGGCAGACTTTTTTGTGTTTGCTGGATAACACAAGCTAGGGGATAGCAAAACATTAATCATATATCAATAACATTAATCTCTCAAATCACTACGCAATAATAAGTGTGACTGAACGAGTATAAACTGTAATAATGGTGCACAGACTGACCTGTGAACAGGTGTGGGAATTTGATGGGCAGAATGACAGCTTCTTTCAGGGCTTCTTTTGCCCCCTCCAGTCCAGCCACATCACTCCACCTCACATTGGGCTTCTCCATCACAATCGCACCTCAAAACATCAACCAACTCCTCATCCTCATGATAGACAAACAACACGGCAGGTGTGTATTCCTTTGCATTAACACAGTGAAACATTCAGACTCAGCATCAGACTCACCCATCAGATGCTCCTGGAGCTTCTTTTTTTCAGGATTTTCTCCTTCACTGTCACTGTCACTTCTGCGCACACACACACACACACACACACGCACACACACAGGTTTGTTTTTGTGAAAAGTGGGGACATCCCATAGGCATAATGGTTTTTATACTGTACAGACCGTATATTCTATTGCCCTACACCAACCCTACCCCTAAACCTACCCCTTACAGGAAACTTTGTGCTATTTCAGATTTTCAATACACTCCATTCTGTGTGATTTATAAGCGTTTTGAAAAGTGGGGACATGGGGTAATGTCCTGAAAAGTCACCTTCTCTTTGTAATACCTATGTCATACCTTTGTCATTATACAAATTTATGTCCTCATTTGTCACAAAAACGCGCACACTCTCTCACACACACACACACACACTCTCTCACACACACACGCGTACGCGCGCGCGCACGCACACACACACCCACGCACGCACGCACGCACACACACACAGTTTTTCACTGTGAGCAATGGACTTTATTCATCAACACCATCCAGCAGAACAAATAATAAGAGCTGAAAGAGTACTCGTCATTGCTCTGTGTTTCCTTCACTGGTTTCTTGCCCTGTTTGTCCTTGTTTTTCAAGTAGTCCTTGAGTTTCTTGGCTCTGTCCAGATACTGCATACACTTCCCACGGATGCTTTCCTTCGCCTTGTCACTGTGCGCTTCATCTGAGAAACCAAAGGATCAAAGGTGCGTCTTGAAATCTTTCATAAGAAATGTTACATTTACACATGTATGTAACATGTAATTACATTTTGATCAAACTTTCATAAAACAAATAAACCCCCATAAATGACCGAAAGGGACGTAGTTCATGACATAAACTTGTATAAGAGTTTGCAGTGGATTTCAATACAAAGCCAGCATCCACTTTCCCAATGCTAACACTTCTTTTTCATATCTCTCATTATTTGCTGTTTAACATTGACCAATAGCGTGCCAGGCCTCGGTGGCATCAGCCAAACAAGAGAGTTGTTTCAGAAGCAGAGTCTCAACAATATTTTGATGAAAAATTCTAAAGACAAACTTTTAGTCCAATGAATTGTGTACAATAAGATTTTTAGAAAGTAAACGGGGTTAATTTGGAGTAGCATGCAGCAGCTGTAGTTCACTCACACTTGATGGCGTGCAGGAAATACTCCACAGCATGCTGGTAGAGTCTCAGCGCCTCCTCATAGCTCCTGGCCTTGTCCTCCTCTGTGGCTTTAGTGGCCAGCTCAATCGCTTTCTGAACATGACAGAGTTACTGACGGCTCTATGAACTGACACACTACTGTACGATTCATAAGTGCTCATTCCACTTCAACTCAACCAGAGGTCTGTGGATCAATTTTATTTATCAAATTAATTTTATTTAAAAAAAAATTCAGGTGAAAGAACAAATTGTCAAATTTTCTTGAAGAGTGTTCAAAATGACATTTTCCAGCTAATATTTCAAGCAAAAGTCAAGCTCTAAAAAGACCTCTGGAAAGGTTGCAGCTTCATTCTGTAAAGAAATGTTGTAAGTATATTAAAAGAAAACTGTTGTGTCTTCACCCCCAGAACAAACTGTCCTTTTTGAATATATTGGTATATTATCCTTTTGGCTATTGAATGCCCTGAACAGTTGCGAGATGTAAAGTCATGAAATATTAACTGGCTGAAAACCAGATGGTATCTGTGTTGATCTTTTCCAAAAACACAATGGTCTAGAGAGTACAAATGTTGTTGAAATTAGAGATGTACATCAAACAAAAATGGACAAATCTTACATTTTTAGAGTTCACAAAGAAGCCCACATATTCATTTTAAGATTAAAAAGGTGTTTTGATTGAGGGAGACAAGATAAATTGCTAGTTTAAATATTATTTGTTTAACAGATGTTCCTCTTTGGATGCCAAAAAAATTGAGTTTTGAACACTTAAATGCTATAATTGAATGATTTTTTTCTGGCGCTACACAGACAGGCTCATCTGCCATTAGGGAACATGCATCCTCAATTCAATAAATTAAATACTTATTTAAGCATTTCACTTATTGCCTTGAAAATACATGCATCTTGAAAAAAAAAGTCTAATATAAACCTGAAATATAAAGGATGTTTATTAAGTTTCAAAACAGTGGGTACCTTTTGTGTTCGTCCAATTTTTGGATTATATTTGTTGGTATATAATGGGTGCTGAAGGTCTTTCGACCTGCTTCATATAATAGGTAAAAACTGTAGAAAATAATGCATTATCATTATTAATGCATAGTGTTAGTTCCAAAATATATGGCCGTGCAAACAGTGCTCAATTTCTATTTTCAAAAATACTTTTGTAAAATATGAGTTCATCTAAATTCAGCAATTCTGTGAAGATCTAACTTAAATTGTATTATCTTTGTACTGTATATGACACGGGTTTCAAATTAATATTATAACTGTCACTGTCTGTCAGACTCCTGCCAACAGCTCAGCTATGGATATATATTTTCTGCTTATTCTTTTATTTTCAGGGTGAATTCCAAAGAAATATCGTTTACCTACTTTCATTTCAGCAACTGTGTGTACATTTGATTTACTGTCATTAAACTGTAGACTGACAGATATACAGGTAATAAATAAATCCACAGCAGCCATTCAAAAAATGACTTCATGAAAGCGTGACATACTTAAACGTGCATTTCGACTGACATCGCTGAAAAATCGTCGTTTAGTCCTATACTCAGTGATATCTCAAATGAATATGAACAGAAGTGAGGTTTGTTTACATGGTTGCTTGTCAAAGACAGTTACCTTTTAACATCCTCTCCGCTGATTTCTGTTATCATGTTTACAACGTTAAACGCTCCTGACGAGTGATAAGTCATTACAGTTGATTTGTTTAGTCAATGTCTAGTTATAACATGGTTAAATAAGGATGATGAGCTAAAACTAAAGCTAAAGTAAACTCACCTGCAGTGTTGACGTTGTCATTTCATCTCACGCGCCAGCGGTTTCACTGCAGTGCCCTCTTAATAGTATTTATAATATACTCAAAGTGTTCGTTAAATAACCAGAACAATAAAATAAATAATTTGAAATAAGGTTGATATAATGTGATAGAGGAGTGAACATAGAAACAGAAGTTGCTACTGTCCTCCGGAAACAAAAGCTCAACGCATTAGTGCCATAATAACACTACATAACACTCATTTAATAATTTACGTGTTTTTATTTATATATGACATTTACATAAAGACAGTGCATAGCTTCAGGTTACAGGCGTTGAGAGTTATAATACATGTACAAACAAATTAGCATTTTTTTGTTGCATCCGATTGTGTGCTGCAAGCTGCCACAAGTGAACTTTGGTTCAAACCCTTTCTCTTCAAAATAAAGAAAAATCAAGCTATTAACAAATAATGAAACTGAGGCATGCATCTATGGGTTTATAAAGTACATTCATGGTCTGAAGGCTGACCACAGCTCCAAACATCTCACCTGTGCAATCTGTAAACCTGGGCAAGTGTGTTTAATAGCGCTGTTAAACGATTAATCGCATCCAAAATAAAACTTTTTGTTTACATGTGTGTACTGTGTATATTTATTATGTATATATAAATACACACACATACAGTATATATTTTGAAAATATTTACATGTATATATTTATATATAAATATATTTAAGATATAAACAACACTTTTCTGAAATATGCATGTGTGTGTATTTATATATACACATTACAAATATACACAGTACACACACGTATTACTTACACAAAAACTTTATTTTGGATGTGATTAATCGCGATTAATCGCTTGACAGCACTGACACAGCTTCACAGTTAAGACAATGCAATACAGTGGGTCCTCAATAAGCGGTCTGATGTCATTACATAAATGGAAATAATGTGACAGAACATAATATCCAAAACTATGACTGATCACCAAACTCAGAGTCAAAGAATAATCAATAAATACAGCCGGAAGCATAACATTTAATGGACACTTCAGAAGAAATGAGGAAGGTTTCCACGAGTAAAAACTTTTTTTCCTCTGATTTGAAATATTCATGATATTAGTATGCACAATAGACTATAAAAGTTTAAAGGCACTTAAAGCATCAAAGAGGTTGTACGTGTGGTCCTTGTGCAGATACATTTGTTTTTTGCATTTCACTTGTGGAGTGAGCCTTACGCTAAAATAAAGACATATTATAGAAACATTGCTTCTGTTAAGCTTGAGCAACGGTTATGAAGAAACACTGCTCAACTCATTTTAAAAACATCATTACCTCCATATATTGTCATATTGTTCATATTCTTATTCTACTAGAACATTGTGCATGTTGCCTAAAGCAGTATACTTATGAGGGAATGTCTTCAGTACTGAAAAACTCCTAAACTACGGCACCTGTGACTAAAGTGATGGGTTAATGTAAGAGATCATGTGATCAAACTCAGTTTGCATTACATGCATTACATAAAAAGATAAAATGTTAATAAAGAATATATACTGATGCTATACTGATATTATATTGATAAACATAAAACATACACACCGTGACAAACCACATATCAGTGCTAAAAACGTGATGGTCCCCACATGTTTTGACCAAAAAATCTCCGACTTCTCCAGTCTTGTCTGAAAACTGGATTAGGATTATTAAAAGCCATTTTATAAAGATTGTACTTACAAAAAGCCAAGTTCTTCAGAGCAAAATATATATAGACTATAGAAATAGGACTTTTTCCCCATGATTTATTTAATAATAAAAAAGGTTTCATTAATTTCCTTCACATTTCCAATCCTGGAATCCCCTGATATTTCCAGGTTTTTATGACAGCGGGAAGCCTGTAATAAGGACTAAACACTCATCTAACGAGCATTAATGTACTACAGCAGGAAAAAAATTAATTAAAAAAAATCAAGGCCTGGAGCAGGTTTGGTCATAAATGTGGAAAAAGTTTTTCTTATGACATGTAGAGAACAAATAAACTAATAAAACATTCCTATATTTGATATTTTTTCAAAATTTTAGTTAAACTGAATCAATCCTATTCAACACCTTCTAGAGTTTTAACTTCAATCGTGAGGGAATGTATTTAAAGCTTCATTTTCTCCATATTTGCATTCAAATGACACACATTCATTCAGATTATAACACACAGAGGTAACAGTCTTTGCCATGCGATACATATAAACATAAATACAGGCGAGTTACGTGAAAAACAAACAGCACAGATAATACAAGAGTAATATGTTCATTTTGGTTACTCTGCAAAGCTTTACCTTAAGCCTGAAAATTAGTGTAAAAGCTTGTTGGCTCTAGATGAGAAGGCACATCTGGTGTTCCTGATCAGAGGAAACTGGGATTGTTTTCTGCTTTAGAAAGCCACACACTCACACAACAAATGTGTTGGCTAGAAGAGAAGTAAACTATGAAAACACTGCTTGAGTAAAATACTAGCCGTCAATAAATCAAAGAAATAAATTAACCTCCATCATTTGCTGTTGATTCTACGTGAGCAGTCCCAAGCGAGACAGTTTGGCTGAGAGAAACGAATGAAGCACAAAGACCACAGGCTTCGGCCCCGAGTGAAGCTCAAACACCTGCAAGAGAGACAGAAAAATACTGATTATTATGAGAACTATCCACCTTTTTCCCAACGAGCCTTCTGTGTTTTAAATGATGGGAGGCTCTTCCGATTTTGGGGAAGTTCCACTCAAAAATACTGCAACAAATAATTTAAAAAAAGATTATGCTACAAATCATCCTTATTCTCCATTTTGACTAAATGGGCTATACATTTTCATTCATTTTCTATTTTCAGAAGTCAGGAGAATAATGTTACGTTTGGTATATTAATGTGTCGTGATATAACAACAGTATCTAATAGCTCTTTTCAGCCCGCTGCATTATTTTCCTCCTGATTATTTTCATGTTTCCTTTGTACTCCGCTGTCAGTAAATGAAAAAAAAAAACATATACTGTGCATTTGTGATCTGCTCTCCCAGTTTCATTTACGTTATAAACCATGAATAATTCCCTGGAATGCACTGGGAATCTTTTATTTTTCTCCCCAAATCCTCACGTCTCTTTCCAGGTTTGTTTTCACACGGATGCTGTAAAATGTAATTGTTATGAAATATAGACATATATTACTATAATGATGTTTAACACATTTACATTTTACACTTAGTCATTTAGCAGACGCTTTTATCCAAAGCGACTTACAAATGAGGACAATAAAAGCAGTCAAATCTAACAAAAGAGCAACAATATGTAAGTGCAAATGACAAGTCTCAGTTAGCCTACAGATGTGTTTTTAGTCGTTTCTTGAAGATGGTTAAGGACTCAGCTGCTCGGATTAGGTGTGCAGTGGAGTAACGAGCATATGATCAGTGGAGCAGTGTTGTGTGTAAATAAGGTCCAGGTTACATGATTTGTGAGTAGCCGTAGTTAATACTCGCTTGAGATCAAAAGAATAGGTTACGCTTAGAGTCTGTAGAGAACTACAGACCCTTCTACCTTTCATTGCAAAAACACTTGAACAAGTTGTGTTCAACCAAGTCTCAGCCTTTCTCACACAGAACAACCTCCTGGACAGCAACCAATCTGGCTTCAGAAGTGGACACCGAGCAGGTGTCCCTGCTCGGTGGAGTCGAACAGTAGAGTCAATGGTCTTTACACGAGGAGAGCTTCACACGAGGGCTGCCGCGACCGCTGCCGCGGTATACTAAGCTTTTTATATTCGTCTAACAAAACTCAAATTGAATTCAGCTGGACACACTTTCCTGTTTATCACAACAAATGGCCAAGCAAAGTGCACAACACTGACAAGGTACGCGATACAGTACGAGACCAAACGCGATTTCAGCACGTCTCCACAGTAAAGCATTTCCTAGCAACGACAACTGCGCTAAACACTGAGACAATGAAATGAATACACTTACAAGTTGCTTTTAACTTCTGCTGATTGACTGCTTCTCACAAAGAGTATTTCTTTACACTGTTTTGCTGGCGCTTGAACACACTTTCCTGTTTATCACAACAAATGGCCAAGCAAAGCGCACAACACTGACAAGTTACGCGATACAATACGAGACCAAACGCGATTAACACGTCCGAAATATTGCTGTGGATAGAAGGAGGATCGTTAGGAGTTATTCATGGTATGCTAAAAGTAATTTGTTAATGCTTTTAAACTTTTACATTTTCTTTTAATGATCAATGGTTGAAGGGTGAGTAAAATTATGTCACCTCATTGTACCCAGTTTTTGAAAATGCTGATTATTGCGTTCACAGAGCAAAACTTTTGCTGATTGCCCTAGTAAAAAAGTAATATATTTAAAATACATTTATGTAAGTATACGAAGTATAGTTAAAACCCATTAACATATTTACTGACAGATAACTCGAGACTTAAGGCCATTGCACACGGAGTCTGAAATTTTGGCACATTGAAAAATAAATACGACCTCACGTTGTGTCAATCACGTTTATACACTGCCTCCGAAACTTTCGTCCGTCATAAAAAAATTCAGATCAGGTTCAATTTTCTGCATTTTCGCATCCTTAGCATGCATTTTGATAGGAAAGGATGACAAATACGAAAAAAAAACGGAAAAAACACAATGTGTATTTTTATTAAGAACATAAATATGAAAAAGTATTTATAATATACTTAGCATTAAATAAATGTATTTCAAATACATTTAAGTATATTTATTTTTGACTAGGGTGTTTACAGTGTAAACTAGGGATGCATGATATTATCGGACTGATATCAGAATCGGCCGATAATGGCTTTAAATGTAAATATCGGCAGAGCCTGATATGAAAAATTATGCCGATATGTCTTGTGATAAGAGGAATACTTTAACTCACATGTGCTCAGGGTGTGCTAGCGATTAGATCACGTCAGCAGTGTGGCTCATTCTTGAAGCAAAGTTTTGTCTGAATGATGATTAGATTCAGTTTTGGATTGCTGCATTTAATCTGTGAAAGCACCTGACGCGTTTGGTGTGTGATAGAGTAAACAGTAATAGCACGTGCAGCGGCAGCCTCCTCCGGGTCCTAACGCCTGCTCAGTAAGGAGCTTTAATCTGTAGAGGGCGCTGTTGGCCTACTTCTAATTAAATTAAAAGTAAAATAGCCTACACAAATAACATTTAGACTGTTTCTGATTAAATAAAGCAGTAATTGATGTCATAAAATAATGAGTATATTTTGATTTAAAGGTCAGAAGCTATAGCTTACATGAAAAAATAAAAATCACAAACATGACATTTGTAAATTAAATAGTTTTATATATACTGATTTATTAATTAGTGTGTAATACGTTTTATTTTTTAAACAAATCATGAGCTCTAAAAGATTTTCAGAATTTTTACAACTCTTTTGCTTTAGACCATCTACAAATGTTAAGTCTTAAAATAAAATGTTAGGGTTAACACTGTATCTTTCTGAGGAAAAAAAATGCAGCGATTGATATAGAGTTTATTTATAGTTATTTTCAAAGCTTCAATGTACTGTAAAAAAACCTTCATTATTGTTTAATTCTAACAATTAAGTTCTTGTTAAAAACTAACCAAAATTAAAAATATTTTGCTTATCATTTCTGCACAGGAGAGACTTGGTGTTGTTTCCAAACAAAAGGAAATATATATCGGCATCGGCCAAAAAGAGTTGAAAAATATCGGCATATCAGATATCGGCAAAAATCTTATATCGTGCATCCATAGTGTAAACGGATATTACTCCCATAATTTGCACAAAGTGTCATGGGGCGTAAGAAAAAAGGTGGATACAGGGATCCTACGTATTTTGACTAATGATTACATAACATTTCTAGTCACTCTAGATTACATACATTTTTAGAGACTACACAGACAAAAAAGCTATAAACAGATAAATAAAATAACAGAATTATGGAGGCCTTAATGAGTGAAAGTTTTATAATGGCAGGACCAACAGACTTTCATTCAGAATTGTGTGTCCATTTCATCCCATCATCTCAGGTAGATATCATACCATCTCGCCCTCTGGAGCACCAAAGTCCAGGTAGAGGTTCCTGACTCCATCGTCTGCAGACATCTTGAGCCGCTCATAGGGGAAGTGAAAGAGCACGGATTCACCAGATTCCCGCTTCACAGTGAACCCTCTGTCATAGTGCAGGATCAGCCGCACGTCTTGTCTGTTCAACACACAGCCTGAGGAGCGCAGACAGACAGATGTGAACCAACAGAAGGTGAATTCATGTGGTTTTATGTTTTCTTTGCTGGCTGGAACTCTGGAAGGAAACCCCTCAATATTTCCAACATTTCCAGCCAGCTATTGTTACACACCACACAGGGAGAAAAGACATTTTTCAGTCCAGCTTTTTTCCCCCACAGTCGCCCCTTTGCTAAGCTTTACTCAAGACTACAGAACAGAAGAGAACTACACAACATCCAACAGGAATGAATTTGGACATTTCGGTGAACAACATGATTCTTGGTCAAATGTGCTCATAATGTTTATGGGTGTACAAATTTAATGGATATTGATCTTACAAGAACTGGAATAAAGTGTAACATTACAAAGCATTCTAGCTGGTGTTTATCTTATCTTAAAGGGATAGTTCACCCAAAAATGAAAATTCTGTCATTAATTACTCACTCGTGTCGTTTCAAACCCGTAAGACCTTCGTTCATCTTCGGAACACAATTTAAGATATTTAGATGTCACATGGATTATTTTACTGATCTCCTTGCTATGTTTCTGGGCCTTGATCGTGGTAGTACCCTTACTGTCTATGGGAGGGTCAGAGAGCTCTCAGATTTCATCAAAAATATCTTAATTTGTGTTCCGAAGATGAACGAAGGTCTTACAGGTTTGAAAAGACACAAGAGTGAGTAATTAATGACAGAATTTTCATTTCATTTTTGACTCATTATGATATGGTACTTTTCAGTCTTTAGTTACCATCAACCATAAAGAAACATTACTAAATATTACATTACATTACTCAGGTTTACCCATATAGGTGGCACCACTTACTGGTGTGGTACATGTTGATTTGTGAATGAGGGCTGACACAGTTTACCCACAGTATTTCTTAAAGGAATATTCCAGGTTCAACAATTTCAACTTGTACTTGTGCACTCGCTGCCTTCACTAGCAATTGTGTGCATAATGTTGACTGTCACAAAAATTAATTTTGACTTGTCCCTCCTTTTTTTTAAAGAAAAAAGCAAAAGTCTAGTTATTTCAACAGTAGCCACAATGCATTAAAAAACGCTTGTTAACATAAAAAAAAATACTTATTAACCATTTCTGTGGAAAGCTGTAGAAATTTTTCTTTGTTGCCTCAGAAATGTAACAACTTAAAATTGATAAGAATGCTTAACATATACTGAACCTAGAATCTTCCTTTAAATTAATTGAAAGTTTAGAAACGACATCTCGAGTGGGAGTAGCTTGTGCTTCTATTATATGTGCACTATTATATGTGACCCTGGAGCACAAAAGCAGTCATAAGCAGCACAGGTATATTTGTAGCAATAGCCAACAATACATTGTATGTGTCAAAATTATCCATTTTTCTTTTATGCCAAAAATCATTAGGATATTAAGTAAAGATCATGTTCCATGAAGATATTTAGTAAATTTCCTACCGTAGACTGGTTTTGTGGTCCAGGGTAACATATGTTTATGAATATGCTCTGTAAAATTTTATTGAAAGCTTGCAGGGGTGGGATTTAAGCAGACTAAATGATTGCAGAAGTCCTGCATATGTGACCAGAGATAAAAAATTATGAGGTTCAAACATGAAAAACATGTATTGTTCACAATAAGATCTATAAAATGCATTTAGAAAACATAGGGCCAATTTTCATTTCATGCGGACTTTAAAACTACCCAAACACAGGACTTCTATGGACTTACATTACGGCCACGTTTGCTAAGGTAGGACTGATCAGTAAAGTTTTTAAGACAGGTGTATTACTGCGAAGGGTAGATTATTTTCTTCGTATATTGACACACACACACACACACACACCTATGGAAACCTCTTTGATGAGCTCAGCAGCCAGATGTCCGCCCTGCACCAGCGCGCGTGTCCATGTGGACAGATCCCAGTGTGTTTCCACACGAAACACATGAGACTCGATGCCTCGGCCGGTGCCTGTTCGTGTGGCGAACACCAGATTTCCACCCAGAGCCGGAGAGCTGCGCACGCTGCCCGAGTGAACCAGCCTGCAGACAGAGACAAACACAGAAGACAGAGCAGACTGAGTTCATTCACTGTGACTCTTACAGTACATTAGGCTTTGCCATAGTAAGGGTCTGACCGTGTAGCGAGCAGCGGGTGTGTCAGTAGAGGAGAGGTCCAGCTCTCATGCGTCCATGGCACCGACTGGAACAGCAGGAGATCTTTCTCTGTGAGCGCCATGAGCACTCGTCTGTTCTGATGCCGCCCACCATCCAGCTCCAGCTGCACACAGACACCATTTCCATGTGCAAAGGACAAATATCTCTCAACTAATGCTGTAAACTGTACATACACATACAGTGTCTGGAAGTAACTAGTTACATGTAACTAAATTACCTAATGTAATTACAAAATAAATGTAATTGTAATCAGTTACTGAGAAAAATGTGTAATTAAATTACAGTTGCTCATGAAAATGTTAATGATTACAAAGAGGGGTTACATCTGAATATTTTCACACAGATAAAGATTTAATTGGTTTCTTTCATAAATTGCATTGATTGCTTTAAAATATGAAACACCAATGTTTCAGGAGTTTAGGACACATGCTTATTCTATAACCGTTTTATTTCCTATTTGGGTTTATGTATATGCTTTTTTTTTTTTTAGATTAACTGTTTTTCAAGGCATTGTTAGATGCCAGTGTTTGCTGTCATAGCTATGCAACGATTTGATTTCTAAAACAGCATCATACCTATTAAACTATATCTTGTTATGGTTTCAAATCTGTATTTAACCTCAGAATGATCTCAAAGTAAAAAGAGGTGCTAAAGTCTGATTTTGTGGTGGCTGTGCTTTAAAATTAAATTATTATGATCTTAATTCGAGTGATGAAGGATTTTGAAAGTCTGACAGTAATCAGTGATGAGCTCTACTGTAAGGTTAACCCGGCCTGCTTTACATGTTTCAAAATGATTAACAGTTGAAAACATTACAGATTTAGAAAATAAATTAAAAAGTAATCCAATGTAATCAGTTACATAAAGTAATTGAAATAGTTACACTACTTACTACATTTTAAATAGGGTAACATCTGTAACCTATTACATTTCCCAAGTAACCTTCCCAACACTGTCTACATACAATTGGAGATATCAGTATATATACCTAATCTGTTAAATGCGACTATAAGAGATGAAGATGTTAAAATATTTTATACTAGGGATGTAACGATTATCAATATCATTATATCGCGATAGCAAAACTGTCTCGATATTATCATGGTCACATGACGATATGAAAATATTTTTAAAATATATTTAAACTTCTTATTCTAACATAAAAGGTCTTTAAAGTTGTGTTTTGGGCCATTATGTTTTGGCACACTATCTGACAAACGAACTAAAACCGAAAGCACAATGTGGCTTAATCCCTTCATCAAGTCTGTTTGCGTTACAAAGTGAAGCGCACACTTCGTTCAGACGATCAGCTCGTGATCCGGTGTTTTCCGCGTCTCAGAACGACTCGTTCACACTGAATGAATGCAGTCAACTCCTTTATTTCATGTGATGTGAGTTTAGCTTGCGTTTAGGAATGCAACAGACACCAGTTATGCTTTATTTTCGCAGCAGATGATAACAGCATTTCACTAGATTTGTAGTGAGACGTGTTTTTGTAAGTTTGTTTTCACTGAAGCTGGAGTTTTCCTTCAAAATAAAAGCTATACTGCCGTTTCCGTCAAAATAAAAGCTTAAAAGTGCTGCATGAATTGCTGGCAGCTAGCAGTTTAAATGCAGTCCAAATTCAAAATATATCTTTCAAGTGTAGAAATTAGGAAAGAAGTATTGTTATTTCCCCACTGTAGTGTAAAGCAAAAATAATATACCTATGAAATATTAATTTTAATTTATTTTACAGTGCAATTGTTTTACAATATATGGCTATTACTGTCATTGTTGTTATTATTGGAGCTCTTCATTTTGAACTCTAAAAGTGCATTAGATAGAATAATTTAACTTTAAAATGTACAAAATGTTAATTTTTTCCAATTCTTCATGTCTTTTTTTTTTTTAAATATCGCAATAAATATCATATCGTGGACTTCACATCGCGATATTATCATATCCTGAGATTTTGATATGAACGGATAATAATATAAAAGGTTAAAATAAACAGCTATTGAATTCAACAGTTCAGGCTCTGTTGTTAATGTTTAGATGTAATAGCCAACACTCAAAAAAAACCTACATTGTATAAAAACTTTTAAATTGCACATAAGGCGTTTTTTGTGCATAAGTTTTAATTTAACAGTTTATAACACAGTTTGCATCAGCTCTGTGTGTGAGTGAGTGAGTGAGTGAGTGAGTGAGTGTGTGTGAGAGTGAGAGTGAGTGTGTGTGATAGGGCTGTGCAATTAAATCGCATGCGATTGTCATGCGCATCTGGTCAGTAAAGCCGGTTCTGTGATTAGTGGTAAATCTCCATCACCTGCTTTCAGATGGAGCGGCATGCACGACACAGAGCCGTAGTTCACTGACAAGCTAGGCGATATCGCGTTCATAATCGAATGCGATTTATCTGCGATTATGAACGCGATATTGCCTAATTGTGTGTGTGTGTGTGTGTGTGTGAGAGAGAGTGTGAGTGTGAGCGTGAGTGAGAGAGAGAGAGAGAGAAAGAGAGAGAGTGTGAGAGAGAGAGAGAGAGTGTGTGTGTGTGTGTGAATTTATGCATGAAAATACATATAAATATTTAAAATATATATATATACTGTATGTGTGTGTATTTATATGTACATAATAAATATACACAGTACACATACATATATTATGCAAACAATTTTTTTATTTTGGATACGATTGATCACGATTAATCGTTTGACAGCACTACTGTCATAATTGTAATTTCATGATCTCATTATGTTAGTTAATATTTGTTAAATTAATAATTCACAGCAAGTGTTGATTTTGGGGACCATGACATGTTTTTATGAGATTCAAATCCAAATGTTGCTGTTGTCTTCATAGCAGAAAGACATAGTCAACCTCGTCAGCAAAATACTGCTTCTGGTTACTTCTGAAATCTCACACACAAACACACACACGCACCTGCTTTCCAGATCAGGCATGGTGAGGTTTCGGCTGATGAAGCTCATTTTGAGTGGGATGACCTTCCTGTCAGGACTTACACTGCTCTTGGGCGACTCGTCGCTGCTGCTGAGGTTTGGGGACTGCAGACGCCCATCCCAAGGCAGATCCGCGCTCACAGAGGACTTCTTAAAGAGCGGAGACACCTCCCTGATGTACTTCACTGCACACAACACATACAGCCTAACTGAGCATTCAATATCAGAAACATCCCCAAAAAAAAGCATTTACACATGACGATCAGTGTGTGTGTGTGTGTGTGAGTGAGTGAGTGAGTGAGTGAGTAGGTACAGTCAAATGTTTTGATGAGGTTTCGCAGGACTGTGTGCGCTTGCAGGCATTGGAACGCTTAACATTGAACAGCAAGATCCAAAAGTCACTTTGAAGTCTATGACTTAAAATAAAACATTTGAATTCTTAAATCATATTTAGATGTTTTCTTCATAGTGTCATGAACTGTTCAAACGTCTGAAACATTTAGCCAAGTGTGTCATTCATCCTTACAAACAACGACAGCAACACTGTTCCTTACTGATAACACGCTTGAGCAGAAACACACTTGGCTTGGCTGAGGAATTCAGTTTGGACAGATGAATGTAAATTGTGGTTGCTTGGGTGCCAACAAGACAAAAATAAATACCTGCATTCAAGAGCTGCTCATACTAGGGATGCACCGAAATGAAAAATCTTGGCCGAAGCCAAACAAAATGAAACACTGGGCCGAAGGCCGTATACGCTTTTTCGCATTTTTTCCCATGTATTTTGCCATTTTTTTCACCATTGCATAAATGAAATAGCCAAAATGTGCTTTTTACGGTTTTGTCTTGCTTTTCAAACAAAGAATCAACTACAAAACAACAATTTAAAAATATTTAGTTAACACTGGACATGTTTTAACATTCTAGCAGACAAGCACAATTGAACAATATTAATAAGTTAGTAAAATTATATTTTTGGCCATTTTTGAGACCCCTTCTTGAATCAGGCATTTATTTGTTACTGTACAAATAAGTGCAGCCTTTCTGAGCAGAAGAGAATTCTTTTAAAACGTTCGAAAATATTACATTTGTTATATTTAAATGTATTAATAGAGCTGTTGCAATTATCATAATTATTATTGTCTTATTTTATTTGACAGAACAACAGTAAAATTACAACACTAACATTTATGAATGTTGATGGGGTTCTTGCTTTTTCTCAGCTTTTATTTTGGCAGAAACCTGCAGGAAGATCTGTGCTTCTTTTTGTTGACAACAGCAGATTTATAAATAATGTTTGTCACACATATCGCATTGTCACATGCCTTTAAAAAAATCATAAAAATGTTACGGAGCAACTGGCGAGTAACACTGTTTCAGCGCAGATTTTCCTTGCGCTTTGAACGCTGGCTAACGAGCTCGTGCAGCGCTGTTTGAACACATGCAATTCGTGCGTGTATTAAGAAACATAACATTCTGCAGTGTATTTAATCGTTTACGGCCATTTCACGATTTCAATCATCATACAGTAACCAGTAATAACCACCCTCCTCTTCTTCTCATCGAAGACATGCGATGCAGCACTAAACTGTCTCTCTCTGTCGGTGCTTGTAATGATTTTTGTGTCTTTCTCTGACAGTTTTAAATATTTTCACACTTCAGACATGTTTGCTGCATTAGCGCGCACCTCTATTTCATCGTACAATTTATTCAGTCTTTTCGCTTATTCGACAATTTCGGTTGCCGAACATTCGGTGCATCCCTAGCTCATACTATCATAGTTATAGCAGTGTTATATATAATAGTTTTTATCTGATCTGAGGTCCAAATGATAATAAAAAAATATAATACTAGCTCAACATTTTGGTTTTGCTTTAATCAGTTTTGATGTGAAAGGGCTTTAAGCTGCATTACTTGCTCAATGAGTAACCTTCAGAATCTCAAAAGCAACAGCTCACCCAAAAATGATTATCTCATTTATACCATCCCAAAATTTGTGACTTGCTTTCTTCAGCTGAACACAATTTTTTTTATCCATCTCTGTGAGCTCATATAATGCAATTGAACAGGTGACAATGCGGAATCTCCAAAAAGTGAAAATACCCGTCATGACTGTAATTCATACGACCCATAATAATTCATAAACAACCATAGAGCATCAACATTCTGGTGCCTGCTTACTAGTGTTGGGCGATAAGCTCAATAGTCCTATCATCCTATCGTTAGCCTGTGAGGATAAAGGTATCCTAATGTTAGTGTAATTTATGGTTACACTTTACTTGAAGGGGTGTGCATAAGACTGACATGACACCTTCATAATCATGACATGACACCTACATAATCATGACATGACACCTACATAATCATGACATGACACCTACATAATCATGACATGACACCTACATAATCATGACATGACACCTACATAATCATGACATGACACCTACATAATCATGACATGACACATGTCATGAATATGAAGGAGGTTTTATGCATGTTTATGACAACTGTCATTAAGTGTCATTCGCTCAGTTATGTAATTTTTAATGCAAAGATGACATTGTTTGAGATGTCTTTGTTATGGGCTATGGTTAGGGGTAAGGGTAGTGGGTAGGTTTAGGTTAGGGTTAGGTCAAATAATGTCATATTTGCATTAAAAATTACATAACTGAGCGAATGACACTTAATGACAGTTGTCATAAACATGCATAAAACCTCCTTCATATTCATGACATGTGTCATGTCATGATTATGAAGGTGTCATGTCAGTCTTATGCACACCCCTTCAAGTAAAGTGTTACCTAATTTATTAACTACACATTAGGCTATATCTTTTTAGTCAAGTAGCAGGAATTTAAATTAAAAGATTAAATTAACACACTTAAAAGATTCAGATCATCAAACCAATTTTAATATTACACAAAGATAATGCAAGTAAATACAAAATGCAGTTTTTAAATGATGATTTCATTTATTAAGGGAAAAAAGCTGTCCAAACCTATCTGGCCCTACGTGAAAAATTAATTGCCCTCTCCAGTTAAATCATGAAAGAACTGTGATTAAGCACATTATTTTAGAAAGCCGAGTTAAATTACACTAGCCACACTCAGGCCTGATTACTGCCAGACCTGGATGACTCGCCATAATTGATGGAAGCATGAATTCTGCGCTCTATCAGAAAATCCTGAAGGAGAATGTCCAGCCGTCAGCGCTTTTTTCCCTTAATAAATGAAATCATTTTCAAAACTGCATTTTGTATTTACTCGGGTTATCTTTGTGTAATATTAAAATTTGTTTGATGATCTGAATCTTTTAAGTGTGACAAATATGCAAAAAATAAAAAAAAAACAGGAAGGGGGCAAAAACCTTTGCACGGCACTGTACATCGCATGTAGTTTATGATGAGAGAATTTGCGAGAGAGCAGAATTCAGTCAGCGAGCGCACACTGCACAACAAAACGCAGGTGTTTCAGCGATGACTCATCTGAACGCCTGATTGGCCATTGCATTCATAAGCTCAACGGAATCGTGTGTGATTGTTTATATATATATAGACCCTAGAAGGGTGATTCTCAAACTACCGATATTTCACCCCAAGAAGCAAAGCATGGCACCTTACATCAGCTTACTCCATGGAGACTGAACTTCTCATAAATGTTATGTCTATTCTGCAAGCTGCTAATTATTATGGCTGGATGAATTGCTTTCCATTTCACTCTCAAAAGAATTGTGGTCTGTACCAGCATCCTGTTCTTATCAGCTTCACCGTTCATGGCTGATTTAATCACTCACTGCTGCTTCACACAACATCTTGAGAAGCTACACTCATCTGACATGCATCTGATAATAATCATTCACCAGAAACTGAACTGATTGGTTTGGTTTATAATGCATATCTCTGTACAGTTCTCTAGTGGAATACTCTAGAATTTGCTGTACTGTTATTGTATAATATTGGATCTCATTAGATCCACCAGGACCATCCAACAGATTCAGCTCTCATTTTAATTAGGCCGGTGCCACAGAGGATAATGTATGTGCGAGCAGAGCCCATCCCATGAGACACTGCTCCACATATCTGAACGTCAGCCTGCAGATCTCTGAGGCAGTGCTGCAGAATAACACGTGTTGCACCGTGATACATGTACCACCACTGACGACACGGGGCCGCCGTCAGCAGAAACCATCAGTAATATGAGTATATAATGGGGCCTATAAGTATTTTGTCCTGTATAATAGTATAATTTCCAGTGCCTCCCATCCAATACTCGCAAGAGGTTTTGTGCTTTGTTACTTTTCGGCTTTTAAATTCTGTTAATTTTATCACCAAATCCAAACAATAAAGATGGATTGTGATGTTTAATGTGGCGTGACAGATCACTGTAGCCACCTCAGCTCAAGCGGCACATGAACTGATCATCTTTCTCTTTACTACTAGTTGCAGCACAAAATAAACATGAATGAACATCAGAAGAAAGTTTGAAAGAAACAGTTGGCATATAACTTAGTGAAATATATCATGTCATGTAATCACTCAATCAGTCATAAAAAGGTCAGTAAAACATCATGAAATGTTACCTCAGGAAAGCCATTCAATGACCATAGATTAAATCAGCGGTTCCGAATCCCAGTCCTCACGCCCCCCTCGCTCTGCATATTTTGCAAGTCTCACTTAGTTAACACACCTGATTCAGATCATCAGCTCATTAGAAGAGAGCTACGTGCATGAACTGTGTTCCGACTGACATGGTCCCTACACTGTTTATTGCTCCCTACTCCCTGAGCAGGGGAAACCCGTTGAAGTTTACTTAACTTCGGAACATGGGCTGGAATTGGGAACCGCGGATGTAGCCTATTGTAAAACTGGAATCATGGCAGAATATCCTGTGATGTCTACTTTGCAGGGCAATTACGGTCGAATAGAACAAACGTCGTATGTGATAAGAGAAACATACGAAATATGCAGAGCAGGGGGGCACAAGGACTGGAATTGGGAAACGCTGGATTAGATCATAGATTAGTCAATAGTTAGCTAGAAAAAATTAACTGTTGAGATCAACATTTTGTTAAATAAATACACTGTATTACATATTAATTTCTATTTTTAATTAACCTGTTAGTGATGTCTTGATTTTTTAATGTAAGTAAATCTGTCATAAAAACAAGTTATGATGACAACCACCGA